TTTCATTGGAGTGATAGCTATCCATGTGAAACCTTAGCACCCACAAATTGTACGTATCACCACCCTAGACTTTAGCATTATGTTAGCACTGTCCACACTACTGTAGTCATGTGGCACAGGTTGTACATAATTATCACCGCCCTAGTCTCTCACACGGAGGACTAGCACCCCTATTGCGATCATGTGGCATGTGTCATTTTTTCGCTTGGGAGTTGTTGTTTTTTTGTTTTGTTCTCCCCGCTGTATTCCGCACGCACCTAGCCAGCTTGTTGTTTTAAAGTCTGCCTTGCTTCCGTGTCTGCTTCATCCTGAAGATGGTCAGAGTGACCGAAACGTTGAGAAGAAAGAAGAATTGTTCAGCTGTGTGAAGAAGCAGGACAATCTTGTTGTTGTATGTATACAAATTTTGTTCGCCTTCCTCCCTATTTACATATACATCGGTCAGCTTGCGCTTGCCATGCTTCTACATATAATATAATATCGTAATAAATATAATATCGTAATATCGTATTTCGCTCCTGCTCTTGTAGCAGTTGAGCACTCTTGCGTGGGGTAGTGCCTTTGCTGTTTGCGTTATGCAGAGCTCACTGACTTGTCAGTTTGAGCACTCCGGCAAGGTACGTTCGGGCCTGATTGGAAATTTTTATTTCCATTGCTATCAGGTTTGACCTCATTTCCTCTGAGCTGCGCTGACGAGTCCACAAAGGACGAAACAGTTCTGTCCGCAGATTGAGTATAATATAATATCTGTAGCTGATCAATAGCCAATAGTCAAAATACCCTTCAATTTCCCGTACCATTTTGCTCAAACTGCGGACGACGGAATGATTTTCGGCACAAATATGGAAAAATACCGAAGTTTGGCCGCATTGTTACTGTGTAATTCCGCCACTTGTCATGTGTAGGTACGTTATAAAAACACACGTTATAAAAACACACGTTATATAAACACCCGTTATAAAAACACACGTTATAAAAACACACGTTATAAACACACACGTTATAAACACACACACAGACACAGGCACACACAGACACAGGCACAGAAACCTACACACATATACATGTACATGTACAACAAAATTAATATTACACAGCAATGATCGCTGCTCTTCTACCCAGGCTATGCTCTATACTCTCAACATCTTTTTCCTCTTATAATCACGCTGATTTTGTCACCCTGTTTCTCGCGCTATTGAAATGTACCTACATCACCTCTGCCCTCTTCTCTCAAGACCCTCCGTATATATTCTACAGTCCGTTTCAAAAAGATTTACAACCCTGGCGATCGCCCGCGGAGTTTGGCGTCTTACCGTATGAGCACTCGAGCGCTGCCTGGAAAAACTCACTGTGAACTCGAAGAAATATTCCGCGCGAAAGCAGGAAAAATGACAACTCACTCACGTTGACACAGTCATGGACGTACGTCTGGTTTACAACAAACGAGTTCTTCCTCGTATCGATAAGAGAGAGGACATGTCGAAACGAAAGTGTTGTAAACAGGGAGTCGTAAAATACCTGGTTGTAAATGTTGACGAGCGGCATGTGTCCCAATCCGTTTTGTGACCAAAATAGTTTCTTTGAGCTGCGATGCAATTTACTCACCGTGTGACGAAAACGACATCGACACGGACTCATTCCCAAGGCCATGACTTGGCAAAGCTATCCGTGTGACTTCGACGACATTTTGAGAAAAACAGACGCTTGTGAACGCTGATAGAAGACGGCGTTGACTGCTAAATTCAAATAAATTGGCGATCTTGAAATACTAAAAATAAATCTCAAAAAGCTACAGCGCGATGACTTCCATATTCACTCACACCATTGCAGTGTTGTGGGTGTGTTCACATGGCGTGAGCCAGTCAAGTGTCAGTCAGTTCGGCAGGAAGCGCGACCTCCAACAACAAGTCGTTTGGTGCAGCCATCTTCTTTGTCTTGTACCAGCTTGATCACCAAAACAATGAAAAAAAAGTTTGACTTGAGGATAGGTTGGGATTTGAACTCATAACTTCATGGTCAGCAGACAGCATTCATAACCACAAGGCCAAAAAGGAAAGGATAAATCGTGGGTTTTGATAAAAAAATCGATACTGGCTTCCTGGGCAAATTGTAAACCATGGGAAAAGGCCGGAAACCTGGCCGAAATTCTAACTCCTTAACGGTTGGTCCAATTGTTCCGAAACCTTCACAGAACAATTTGCCGTGTCCTAACAAGCCATTCTATGTACTTTGTTGTCCAAATTTCCCTTATCTTCATACTTTTTAAGACCCAAACCTGATTGTAAATCTTTTTGAAACAGACTATAGTGATTGTTAGTCTTGGCAAGAGTACATGAAAACCAGAGTGTGCAGCTCGGATGGGTTGCTGTCACGGCGAAATTCCGTGATTACATCATTTTAGTGATGTAGTGCGTACAAGCAGGATTCAAGCAGGTCTCTTTCTGCACAACTGCAGCTCAGTTGTACGCACTACGCCATTTCCCGCCTCAGATCTGGGCCAAATATGATGTAATCACGGAATTTCGCCGTGACAGACACCCATAGCAGAAAAGGCCCCAAGCTGCACACTCTGGTTTTCATGTACTCTTGGTCTTGGTCATATGCTGTCTAATGAAGTGTTTTCATACGAAACTCGGAGTAACAGCGGTAAGCAGCCTAGAGACTTTAAACAACTACATGTACATGTATGTAGAGACGCACATATACACACACACACACACACACACACACAAACGCACATATAACCACACACACACACACACACACACTTCAGACCTCAGACCTCGGACCTCAGACATGCCCATCGCGGAAGCGATGATAGCGAACAGCTACATGTTGGTTAGACATAGCAACTTGTGCTGGGATTACACCATTCAACAGCTTGCAAGGCTGATGAATTGACCGACACTAATTTTAGCCTGGTATCCACCTGTTAGGTACCTCCTCCCGTACCTTTTCTAGCTGGCCTGCATGCACTTGCGTACGCACCTTTTGTCTCCTTTTGCTCCGTTGGCCTGGGTAGCTACTTGCGCGCCCATATTTGCCATAGCTACCCAGGCCCTTTATCTTGCTGTTTAGACTTGATCTCTCTCTCTCTTTTCTCACTCGTCAATAATCACCATGTAGTCGTTTCGTTCGTCTTGGTCTCTTGTCTCGTCGTCTATAATAAATGTCGTTCCCAGTAACCTGTTCCCGTTGTAATGTCTGGATATGTCGTCAGTCGTCCTGTTTCGAATTCAACATTGGCGCCCGATTATTGATCGACCGACGACCCTGAGATCATCCCATGCCCAGCCGTCCTCAACCACCATTCGTCTCGTCTATGTCAACCTCGTCTCGTCCATGTCAGTCTCGTCTCTCCTACGCCAACCTCGTCTCGTCTCTATCAACCTCGTCTCTCCTACGCCAACCTCGTCTCGTCTGATGTCAACCTCGTGTCGTTCAAGCCATGCAGGTCAGCTACATTTCTCTCTTTCTTTTTTTTTGTATGCGTTCCTTCTTCAGAACTAAATGATTATTTATCGCTGTTCTCACACTTTACCATTTTAGCAGCTTGCATATGCCATTGATATAATTATGTGGAAAGCGCGCACTTGCGCCATATCTGGTGTATAAGAATGATCATTGGCCTCCATTATCATCATTATCATCCTCTACTGATGAGCTCCGACAGGGAGCGAAACAGCTGTCTAGAGGCGTGGAGGAATATTATCTCTCAACGGAAGTGTCCTTGCTGGTGTCTGTATGGTTCGGCTGAAGAGCGCGTGGTTGTGAGGAGTTGGGAATGCGTTCCTTCTTCGTCAAATTTATTTTCGTGAATTTTTTTTGTAGTGTGTGTGCGCGCGGGTGTCCTTCATTAATATTAGGGGTCCGATCATGGTGAGCCACGCTCTCTTATTTATGTCGTATATTAAAGTGTAACTAGGCTCTATTAGCCGTGCAAAATACTAGTCATCAGAATACAATTCAAGTCCCTCGTCGAACTCCAATAGTTATTTTTTGGGCCATGTTTTGAAGGGGCGTTTGGGCCCGTTGTTATTGGCAATGTACACACTATAGTATGAGTAGTACAGGAACGTTGACGGTTGTAATGATCTGTAGTGCATTTTTTAGTCCACACTTTTGTGAGGCCCGTGCGTTGTGTGTGTGTGTGTGTGTGTTTTCTCCATCAGTCATTTTTTTTAAATCTTTTTCTCTTTTTTTCTCTCCGCGAGGACGCGGGATTTTTTTCATGGAGGGGTGGTATGTTAGGTACCTCCTCCCGTACCTTTTCTAGCTGGCCTGCATGCACTTGCGTACGCACCTTTTGTCTCCTTTTGCTCCGTTGGCCTGGGTAGCTACTTGCGCGCCCATATTTGCCATAGCTACCCAGGCCCTTTATCTTGCTGTTTAGACTTGATCTCTCTCTCTCTTTTCTCACTCGTCAATAATCACCATGTAGTCGTTTCGTTCGTCTTGGTCTCTTGTCTCGTCGTCTATAATAAATGTCGTTCCCACTAACTTGTTCCCGTTGTCAGTCGTCTTGTTTCGAACTCAACACACCTCACAGCTTATTGAAGTGGCTTTTTCTGGTCAGTGAATCCCCATTTTTCATTTTTTCATTTTTTTAAATTCTTTTTTACACACACACGCCACACCACATATTCCGGCATACACTGGCTGCTGGTAACCACCCAGGAGAATGAAAGAAGAGCTAGGAGAATGAGGAAGAGAAGAAAGACGTGTGCGACCATAATCGTCGGGAATTGAACCCGCAGCCTCTTGATTGGAAATCGACTGCACATATCACTGCACCGTATGGGACACACCACAGAAACACCCACACACACCCACACACACACCCACACACACACACACACACACACACACACACACACACACACACACATAATATAAACACACACACGCATAAACACACACATGTGCACGCACAAACCCACACTAATGAGGCAAGAGGTATGCCTATGTGAAATTAACAATGGCATAGTACCAGGACCTACCTCTGCACTCCACGGCTGTAGACCAATGGCCAGTTTCAGTACACGTGATCTGGTAAGCACAGGGTGATTTGCCAAATCCAGAATCACAGGTCAGTGAACGTATTGATCCAAACGATGTGTTGTGTGCTATTCCAACCTCGCCATTCTCTATCTCAATCTTACCACTGTTGCAAGTGATGGCGTCACACCTTGAACTGGCACTGATACTCTTCCAAACAGAGCCGATTTCACACGTAACATTGGTCCTGGATGACAACTTGTAACCACGTTGGCAAGATATGGGGACGTTGTCACCAACAGCCACTGTGTCTGTCTGCTGTTGTATTTCAAATTTGTCTGGTGATATCTTTGTCTTCAATTCGTCCAACTTGCAAGGAATCGCTGAATATACATACAAAAATAAATTTAAATAATACAACAAAAATACAGGACACAAAATATACTATAATACTCATAAAAGGACACACTTCAGGCTCATTACAAACATCTTGAAAGTTTTTGTCTTCACAAGTATACTTTCAAGCCTTCTCGTCAGGTGAAATACAGGCAAGGGAAAAGGAACAGGAACAGTGGATTAAATACAGTAAGAAGGTGGTAAAACAGCGCAAAAAAAAGAAAAGAAAAGAAGATAGCTAAAGTAAACAGCGAAAATTGCAATAATGACACAAAGGTGCAAATGCGAGAAAACTCAATAAGCGTGACATGTAGTGCGACAACAAGAGACAACCACTGGACATACATGTAACTAACGAGGTTTTGACGACCTACCTAACAGCCTAAGTGTGAATTTGATTTGTTTCTGCTTGCAAAGGTTGGGTTTCTTTGTGTGGATGTATACAGCTTCCAAAACATTCAGCAATCATCAAACATCAGCAAACATCTGGACGCACGCATCCGACAACACGCACCGCTACACCTTATTCCACAACACGCACGATCCACTCGACCACGGAGGGGACGTCCAGCAAAGAATCATCCTGGTACAAGATGGTCCAACGCAGCGGCATTAACACCAAGCAACGTCACCTCACAATTAGTTAGACCACCAGAAAAACAACCGGACAAGACACCTACTGGCGTGGCAGTGACAGGAACCGCATCAACCAGAAGAATGACAAGATCGGCAACGGCGGCGATGGCAGCGACTAAAGTACAGACAGAGGCAACGGCTAGGGTCCACTCGACTAGCCATGTGATATCGGATGTGTCCACCGCACATGCTGATTGTTCTGATGTTAGTTCTGATAAGTATGAGTCGTCCATTGCTAGTCATTTGTTTGAGCATCCTGATTGTCGTGCTGTGTATTCAGATGATTGTTTTTCGATTGTGTCACGTGTACGCAGTGCTAGATTGCTGAATGTTTTGGAAGCTGTATACATCCACACAAAGAAACCCAACCTTTGCGAGCAGAAAAAAATCAAATTCACACTTAGGCTGTTAGGTGGGTCGTCAAAACCTCGTTAGTTACATGTATGTCCAGTGGTTGTCTCTTGTTGTCGCACTACATGTCACGCTTATTGAGTTTTCTCGCATTTGCACCTTTGTGTCATTATTGCAATTTTCGCTGTTTACTTTAGCTATCTTTTTTTTTTTGCGCTGTTTTACCACCTTCTTACTGTATTTAATCCAATGTTCCTGTTCCTTTTCCCTTGCCTGTATTTCACCTGACGAGAAGGCTTGAAAGTATACTTGTGAAGACAAAAACTTTCAAGATGTTTGTAATGAGCCTGAAGTGTGTCCTTTTTATGAGTATTTTCGCATTTTTGTCTCAGAGGAAACTGTTTACAAAATATACTCTAAGCTTCTTACAACAGCTATGAAAATTGCCATTTTACCATAACAAAAGCTCAATTCACAGGAAAGAGAAGAAGTTTGCAGGTTGAGCCTCCCAAGTTGGGTGATCTGTTGCCTTGCGTTTTCGAGTTGTAGTTAGACCGGTTTGTCCAATGGTCTTACTAGTTTCGTCAGCATCATCCCGTAACGTTCGACATTCCTTGTTGCCAAGGGACATAGCTCGTAGACTTCTTCGTGACGCATCCCTTCCCCTCATTGGAACTTTACGCACCTGAGCCTTCTAAGTTGGAAGGTTGTTGGTAGGTGCTTTCGTAGATGTGTTGGAGCAAGGTGCTAGGTCGTCGAATGTCAGTTTTGTGCCTCGCTGTCGCAACATCTGACTGTACATTATCTCGTTACCTTGGTTACCTTGGTGGACTGTCAGTTGTAACTAGTAACTTATAAAAAATTGGTTGTGAGCAACACTGGCTCAGACTCAAATCACTCCTAGCCAAAGTGTTTGCGAGCTACAGCCAGGCGCCACTGCTAACACCTGACCTGCACTCAGCTGGTATTTTAACACCCACGTCCACTGTGAAGTTCTCCATACAACCATTCTCTGTGCAGTCCGTATTTGACACGCTATCCAGACTTCTCATTCAACGTGCTTTTATACCTCGATATTTAGGTACTTGTTTCCCTTCTTCCCATGCTTCATCTTCCACTCTCCTCTCCCCCATTTCCCCATTTTTCTTGCGATATTTATGTGGGAGACTTCCGTGATAAGCATCCATTTGCTTTTGGAGAATCCTTTTAAATAAATACAATACAATACAATACAATACGTAAAACCGCTGGACTGCTGAACAATCGCATCCTCCGTGAAACAGCTGAGGTCACGTCACAGTCTCTTTCCGCCCTTTTCAACCGCTGCTTGCTGTCCAGTACTCAGCCCAGGGAGTGGAAATCTGCCGTTGTTGTACCTGTGTTCAAGGGAAAAGGTAATCCTTCTCACCCAGTCCATTACCGTCATATATCGCTGTTAAATGCAGTTGCCAAATTGTATGAGTCTATGATTAGCCGTCAGTTTTACTCGTTTGTTGAGAGCCATAAAATTATCAGTTCCAGCCAGTTTGGCTTTTGTCGAAAGAGGTCAACAGTTGACCAATTGGTACAGCTTACCTCAATTGTTTCGCGTGCATTTGACTCTAAGTCTTCTTGTGACCAGCTGTTCCTTGATTTTTCTAAGGCCTTTGACAGAGTTAGTCATCATTTAGTTATTCAATCTGTTTCAGGTTGGTGTTCTCTTTCTGCCTGTTCTTGGGTGAAGGACTTCATCAGTGATCGTAGTATTTGCGTTCGCATTGGCCAAACTCTTTCTGACCCTTTGCCCATCACCGCTGGCGTACCCCAAGGTTCCCATCTCGGCCCGCTTCTTTTTAACCTGTGCATCAACTCCTTTCCTGATGCCCCTGCTTCTAGTACCCTATCCCTTTTTGCTGATGACTCTAATATAATTCTTGTTTCTCCAGCAAACACCTCACTTCCTATCCATCATGCATTGCTCCAGACTGACATTGATAAGTGTTGTCAATGGTCATCAGCTACTGCCATGACGTTTAACACCAGTAAATGCGTCCACCTACCCTTTCAAAAATATGCATTAGCCCCCGGCCCGTCATCCCCCTTGACAATGAACGGTGTGCCTATTCAGAAAGGTGATAGCCACTGTCATCTCGGCGTGACTATCACTCCTTCACTAAATTTTTCTGACCATATAAAATCTATCACCCATAAGTTTCGCAGTCGTGTTTTTCTGTTGCGCCATATGGCCCATTTCCTTTCTGCTTCAACCGTGAATTTGCTCTACAAGTGTTACGTACGACCACTGTTAGAATACGCAGTCCCTGTCTGGTCATTCGCCGTATCCCATTCAGATTCGCTTACGTTAGACCGACTGTAGTAGTATTCTTTTATTTTCCATCGGAAGCCTCAACAGTGATGAACACAACTCTTAAGAGGGCCGATAACAGGGTAGAGGGGTGTGGGGTGAGAAAAAAAATAATAATAATAAGAGATATTTAAACTAAACTAAACTGATACTTGGAACAATAAAGCAGCAGTAAGCAGTAAGCAGTAAACACAGGTATACAATACAAGCGATGCAGATCAATGAGGCCGTTTGCTGAAAAGAAGATCTAAATACTTCTGAAAAGACGCTGCGTCTTTAAGCATGGTCATAATGGGATAGTGCAAGAATTAAAGAGATGTTTTTAAAAACGAATTTAAACTAGGAACGCAGTAAACACAGTTATACAATACAGGCGGTGCAGATCAATGAGGGAGTTTGCTGAAAAGAAGATCAAAATACTTCTGAAAAGACGCTGCGTCTTTTAGCATGGTCTGAAGGTGCTTAGCAAATGTAGTGCGGTGCTGGGTGCGCCACTCCACAGGCAAAGAATTAAAGAACAGGGCAGCACGATTTGAAAAGGAATTGACACCGTCAGTCGTCCGGAATTTAGATATTGCAATAGCAGCATTAAAAGAGCTTCTTGTTGTCCTAGGGCCGGTTGAAACTTGAGGGAAAAGGTCCGTCAGATTTGGGAGAGGGAAAACGACATGATTAACATGGATAAATTTAGCAATGCTACGAATAAGGTAATGTTCAAACGGATCAATCGACAATCTAGCTAACAGCGGCATGACGTCCTCTTGTAGTTTCGAGCCACAAGCAGCGCGTACAGAACGACGATAAACGGACGAGAGTCGCTGTCGGTCCTTGGCGGATAGCTTCATTGCAAAGCAAGAGCAGCAGTATAATAAGTCAGGCAGGATAACCGAGAGGATAAACTGCCGTGTTGCCTTCAAACTTAGTTGCCGAAAACACCGTCGAAGAGCGCCAATTTTCGTGCAAGTCTTCCTAACGATAAAGTCTATGTGACCAGACCAAGAAACATCACTGTCTACAATGACTCCCAGGATTCTCGTGCTAGACACTTGAGTCAGAGGCTGTTGGTTAAAAACGATTGGAGTTGAGAGGGGTTGAGAAGACTTAGAAATCATCAAAGTTACAGTCTTTGTTGTATTAATGCGCAGCCCAAGCTCGTCTAGATCCACAGAAATTGCAGATAACGAATCAGTAACGGTAGCGACGGCCTCAGCTTGTGTACGTCTGCTGGCATACAACGTCATGTCGTCAGCGAACATCGGGAGCTTGCAAGAAAAGGCCTCTGCTGTCAATGGGAGCTTCCGTACATATATGTTAAATAGCACCGGACCCAGAATGGTGCCCTGTGGCACGCCACTAGTGATTGCCACCAACGGAGATGTTCCAGTGTGGGTAACCACCCGCTGTTGTCTGGCACAAAGGTATGATCGGAACCAGGCCAGGGCCACTCCCGAAATACCGACAGCTGCGAGAGCAAGAAGAAGCTGTTGATGCTTCACCATATCGAACGCTTTTTTCAAATCAATACAGACAACCGCCGTATGCAGTCCAGCGTCGCGCGAGACAAGCCAGTCGTTCGTAACCTTGGTGAGAAGCTGTCCGGTAGAACGGTGCTTCCGAAAGCCAAACTGGTCCACATGGAATGGGCAACGATCATTA